TATAATTCATGTTCTGCAAGTACAAAAATAAAAAAATATTTTAGAGTCACGAGGTTTTAAAAATAATTTATCTGGAGGAGTTGAGGTATCTATAGTTACCATAAAATTTTTCATACATATTATGTACAGATATTTGACAGAGAACATATAATGTTTGTTGCATTTTCAATCCCAAAGTTAAAGTGTTTCAAAATATCCATATGAAATTTGTGTTTCAGAAATCTGTGTTCACATTATTTAATAATAGGTTATTCTACCTTTAAAATAGTAAGTTATTCTACCTTTACAGTTATATTATTTAAATGCAGAAGTCAGATAATTTTGCATTTGTATATTTGAAATATTATAGAAAAGAAGAATCTGAGAATCACTTAGGAATGTTTCATAATTAATGCACAATATTTGAAAATTTTTGTTAAAGCTGGATGTGCTTCTGATAAAGATACACATCATGGTTCTGCCTCTCCTAGGCTTAGCAACTTTCCGTTTTCCATTGTCTTTTTAAATTTTTATTTCACCTTTCTTTTAACTCTCCCCACCCTGTGCAATCAGCACTATTTGGAGTTTCCATCAGCACAGTGCCAAGATCATCAGGCACAAGTGTTTTGACTTTATTTCTCTTATTACTGTAATTCAGGCTGTAAAAATCTTAACTCCCCAAGCTGATGAGACAAGTTTTTACAGAGCATTCTGAGGTGGACCTGAAGAGAAATCTGGAAATTTCTATTCTTGCTAAGTCATACATGATTCTTTGGCAAATTAAAATTTAAAAAACAGCTATCTCTTCCCCTTACAGACTCTGTCGTACAGAGAAGAACCAGAATCTGTTAAAATCTTAACCACAATTTCTGAAGGAGGAATTGATTACTCAAAAGAGAGCTAAACTTCATTTTTCTCAGTGGTAAAATGCTACTATTGATACAAGTAATAGTAAATTTACTTCCATACAGAAATTGGTATTGGTATTATACTAGATCACCATGCAGTACGATAGCTAGATAATATTGTAATGGGAAATTATGTCTGTATTCTATATGAAGCTAATGTAGTTTAGGTTTTATAAAAACCCTATTAATATAGGCCATTTGATTATAAAAATATCATGATACTTAGGGAACAGTTAGGGACCATGGAAAATAAGATCAAAATATATTGGGCACTTACTTTTCTATCTTCTAGATTCAGAGTATCTTGAAAGGATGTGCAGTGTTTTGGTGTTTTTTTGTTGTTGTTGTTGTTGTTTTTTTTTTTTAGTGACTAGTAATATAGTGCAGAGTAACATTCATTCTGTAAGTGTCTGTTAAATGGATAAATACAGTAAAGGAATAGCTAGAAATCCAAGGAATATGCAAGCAAAATGTACTGGTCAGCTTTTACGTTGCTGGACATGGTATTTGACACTTGTATCCTGAAGGAGGAGAGGTCTACAGGATCACAATTTCAGCAGCTCAGCCCATGTTTTTCTTGTTCCAAGACAAAAGGATCATGTGGAGGGGACTGCTGGAAGACAGCAGCTCAGCTTCTGGCAGCCAGGCAACAAGAGAGAAGGGAAAAGCCAGAGGCAAGAGCGCACCCTTCCAGGCCACCCCTGGCCCAGCGGCCTGTCGCCAGCCAGTCCCCACCTTTTAGCAGCACCTTCAGCTGTGAAATCGGCAATAGATGAAGCCACTGATGAATAAAGCACTCTCACGATCCAATAACATCCCAAGTACATGTGACTTCTGGGGGACATTTAAGATCTATACTATAATACAGAGTTACTTTAGAAAATTTTTTTAAAATAGAAGATTTACTACATGCTGTCATAAAAGAAAAGAAAATAATCCATTTTAATCATCAATTTGAGTGGATTGAGAGACTCCTGGAGAGGCCATTAATTCTTGGGGACATTTACTCACTATGGATGGATCCAGGGATGCTCATGTTGAATACACTGGTAGGAGCTTGACCCATAGAGGAGGAGGGACACTGGGTCAGTCTTTGGAGGGTGTAACTCCTATCGGTGCTCTGCTTCCTGGTGGCAGGAAGCGCTCCACCACACCCTTCTGCCATGACGTTCCTGCCTTGGAGCCACGTGATCAGGGACTGAACCCGTAAAACCCTGAGCCTAATTACTCCTCCCTGTAAGTTGCAGTGTTGGGTATGTTCAACAGGCAACAGGAAACTGGACCCCTACATCCACTCAGAAACTCATCTGAACATTTTGAATAAGCTTTTTATATTTTTACTTGAGATAATCACAGACACCCTGTCATAATTATGACACTGCTATTTGTAACACATCACTCAGCAATAGAAATGTATATTCTAAAACACTAAGGGAATGCTTGACATGGTGTTATTTAATACTTGGAAAAAATCTAAGTGAAGAAATAAAGGTCAGGAAAAAAAGTTCTTGTTTAACTGCATTTTCTGTACCGACTCTTTAAATCCAGAGCCAATTATGAGCTCCGTGCTCCCATCAGTAATTGCATGCTGAGTAAGGAAATTTAAAATGGCATTTTCAATTTTCATTTTATCAAGACAAGGAAGAAAATTAAATTGAATACTAATTAGTGTGTGTGTGCTATACACCTAAAAGATTAGGAGAACACTATGCTCATCATAAGTAGGTTTAAGCAAAGTACTCAAATGTTTCATTTAAATGGCTGAATACAAATAAAAGGATAAAATGGGTGGTTTCTTTTATATGAGAAACCCAAGTTATAAATAGAGAGCAAAATAAAACATAACAGGAAGTAAAGTGATGTATCTTTTTCAGATGGGAAGGGGATCAAGACTTGGAGGGAGGGGAGGGAAACAGGTGAAAAAAGGAATGCAGATGTGCCGTGTCCTTGTACTAATGTCTCACGAGGAATATAAACACTATGCACTAAAAACACGTACTAATAAACATTTTTAAAAACGAATGCTTAAGCACAGAAAATCTGTTAGGGAATTAATCTCCTCAGAGTCCCCTAAATATGATTTTCCTTTAAGTAACTTGTGAACTTCCTTTTCAGGAAACAGAAAATACTATTAAAGAATATGAAAATATAGACCTTGAACATATTCACTGAGTATTTACTGAGTAACAGTGCTGAGTTTTTAGTTTGTTCACCTATTCCTCTAAGAGAAAACTTCTTCTATTGACTTCTGCAGTTTTTCTACAAAAGTAAATTACCATCTTCAGAAAAAAGCAGATTATTGTTGCCATCATCATTATCATCATCAGCAGCCCAGTGGCCATAAAAGTAAATTTTAAACTATTCACTTAAGATGACAGGCTAAGTTATACTCAATCTAAACTTCCTTGAGATGATCATTGTCCTGCTCCACTGAACTTATTTCTTTCCATTATGACTGGGAGAAAGAGAACCTAAAGTCCAACTTTTCAAAGGCAGAATGATATACTGTGTAAAGTAGGCAATAAATTCGGGCAAAATAAGGTAAAAAAAAATCAAAGTGTGAAATATTAACAACTTTTAAAGTTCCATCATGACTGCCTTTCCACAAATGTACCAAATCTGCTCATCAGCTACAATGGCTAAAACCATCTCTGGAATGAATATTAGTTATATAGTTTCTTTTATTTTGTGTCTATTTTTAAATTAATCAGATTGTCATCAGTCTCTAACCAAAACTGTGCAGATGTGTTATTCTGGTTTTTGAAATTCTTTTCGTACATGTGGCTACAGATGGAAAAAGTCAAATTAATTTAAGAAGCAATTTCCACAAGCACACGCAGACATAAGTTCATAAAAGAAAACAAGAATACTGGCCCACCACGCACTGCCATTTCGATAAAATAAATCTCTAGGAGACATAAGATTTCTTCAGAGAAGGAAGTATGTGAAGATTTCAGCCCAGTTCCTAAGTATGCAAGTCTTGTTACTTGGCCATAAATCAATTTTCCTTTCTATTAAATGCCTGTACAGCAACCTTTACGCGTGGTATTTAATGACGTCATGTCAGAGGCTGATGTTCCCCTGACTCAAAATATGTAGTAAGCCGAGAGCAGCCCCTCAGCTGATCAAAGTTGTGTGTAACGGCCCCCACTCCAGTGGTAAAGGCCAGAGCCTTTTGCTCAGATCCTATGGCACAGCAAACTCACAGACCCTTCCGGTAAACTGTACTTGCGATTTTCTACAGGAGCCTTCCAGACTCATGTCACCCCTGTGACAGGGCTGTTCTTCCCCATCTAGTCTCTACCGCAAGCTGTCTTCCAAGGCCCTCAAAAGTTGTCGCCACCAAGCAACTTTCCCATGGTGATTTCTTCTTCCTCTGACTCCAGAGCACAATGTCCCTGTCTTACCTTTAGGGTACATCCTGGTGACCAGCTAGACAGATACTAATAAGCTATATTCCCAACAGAGGTGCAATCTTTCTCAGAGACCACTAATGATCATCTCTCTGTTCCCTAAATACTACTTTATGGTTTCACTTTATCTAAGTCCTCAGAAAGCATTAAAATGAACACAATATCAGCCTTTCACATCACTACTCTATGTGTAACCCTGGGAAAATACTTAGTATCTCAGGGTGTAGTATTCTTTTAAAAATCAGCAGGCTGATAAAAATACTGTGCATGACACTAGGAATTGAAAGTCCTTAATTACTGAAAGAACGTGCTGCTAACATTTGAGGCACCGTCATATACATTGTGTATTTTAAATTTGCACATGCAAAGCCACACCTTAGAGACAGAAAAAGAATAGATGTAATTTTTTTTTTTTTGTAGTATAAGGAATTGCTGTCTAAAAGTGCATGCTCTGAATGAACAGGTATCTAAGACTTGTTCTGATGTATTTTAAGGTAGTGTTTATACAGCTCAAGAATTTTATTACTTTAATCCTTCTAATACATTTGCCAGTGTAATGTGTATGTTCTTCACATTTTTAGAGTCTGTAGCCAAACTGAACCCTTAAGTAAATTACCCTTTCTGAGACCACTAGCTCTTTCCGCTCTTTTTCATATGACAATAGGCATTTAGGCAAAACTGTGTATCACTCCACTGTTACCTGAATCCACGGCCATCTGTCGTTTTCTGCAGCTGTCCAGGCATTGATCAGTCCCTTCTTATTAAGACGTGCATAGTACGGGTACCATTTCTGGAGTCCAAAAAGAGCTCGGTGGGTAGATGAGGCTGTGATTTGCTGATTCGATATGATTCCACCTTCAATTCCCAATGGGCCGGAACATTCTGGGAACAAATCAGAAAGCCGTGCAAACAGATGAGAAATCCCACATGCAAGCTGTGGCTATTTGGTGTGATGTAAAATATTGCTAAAAGGATTTTAATTTGAATCCTCACACTGTTTAAGCCTCACTAATCCACAGCTCCGGTATGAATTACTACACGCAGGAATCGTTGTTGCTCCTCATGTGCCTTTTCTTCCTTTGGTCTGAAAGAGGCCTCAGGACAGACCTGCCCCGAACGCGCTATGATTCTACCCTATGTGCCACTTTCTGTGAGTTGCTCCCGTGAACACGAGGGTCTATTTCTTTTCAATGACATAAATAAGAAATTTTAAATGGCCCATGTCATATTTTATATTTTCAGAGATAATAGTCACTCATAAATCATAAACTGTAATCCCTTATAAATGTTTGTTGAAGCAATACTTCTTTATTAGTGCACATCTAAATTTTCTGCCAAAGTCAGTTTTGCATTCATGTTTTTCACTGTAAAATTTTTTTTTTTAACTGAAACCTTTTTAGCCATGTGAGTTATGCTTTTCCAAAAGTGAATATATACAGATTTGTCTACAGAGTAGAATATTAAACTATCTATGATGTCTTATAAACTACAGAAAATAGGTACAGAAACTATTTTTATAACTAGAGTAATAACGGTCATTGTACAAGACAATACTATTCAGCAAGTCAAGGTACTGAAATATCTTTCTTTGTAACATCTTAGTACAAAATCTAAAACTCTTGGGATTCTCTATTTGCATCTTAAGTTTCTTTTATTTTTCTATAAATTTGTGACATGGAAATCTAACATAATTTCATGGTAAATATTTAAAACTCTAAGATTAAAAACAGACTCAAATAGGGCCAAGGATTTAGCTCAGCGGTTCAGTGGCCTGCCTTACAAGCGCAAGAACCCAAATTCAATCCCTGGGACCAAAAAAAAAACAGACTCAAATAATAAGTCCTCTGATACTAAACATGTTTAGTTCTTAAAGTTAGGAATGGAGTTAATTCCATCTAAAATGTATATGTACATTGAATATATAATTATATGCACAATATGTATTTGAATTCCATAATAACTTAATACAATTTCACCATATTTAATTTCGGTTTTGAAATTCAAAATAGGTAGAATTATGAGAGAACAAAAACTATACCTGATTTTCTTAATTTCTTTAATATTTCATACATTATATTTACATTTTTGTTAACACAAATTTGGATAATAAATAGAATAATACTTAACATGTTGTATGCAGTGTTTAAATTGTTGCCAATTTAGGATTAGATAGTTAATATGATAATTCTATAATGAAATTTACAATAACTCATCAGAATTCTTGAAATTTTGAAAAAGGGCGAATTGCCACTATTAAATATCAGTATACATAAGTCAAGTTGACCAACGATTGCCACCAAACACAATATAAATTTTAAATATTTCTGTAGTCTAACATTAGTAATTGAATGCTATTCTCAGACCATGATTGAGAAGAACATTTCTACCACTGGATTATAATATTTTTAGAAATTAGGGTGATATTTTCCATTGTTAACTGTATTTTCATTACAGTAAATGTGCTTTTCTTTGTATTCCATGGTAAAACAGTAAAAGGCTGAAAGTACAATAGTAACATTTTTCTAATGCCTTTAAAACCTTTTAAACATTTTTTATAAAGAGAATTAAAATACATGGATAATTAATCATTTTAATCAGACGGTATTAGTAAAGATAATATTGACACAGTAAACTTTCATCTTTGCAATTTACAATTAAAATACCATTCACTAGATACATTAAATCTAGACAGTAACGAACTTTTAAACATGTAATTAGGAATGTTACTCTTCATGAAAGTATTGATATCATATTGGTCATTAAATTAATAATTTATTCATTTTTAAAAGTGCAAATTAGGAGCTGTGGCTAATAATCTTATTTTGATATTCCCAAACCTTAACTTGAAAAACTCAAATGTTGACCCTTTATTTTATTGCTCCCTATTTTAAACTTTAATAGTTTTACAAACTTCTTACAATGGTAAGAAACTTTCCTGATGTCACTCGGTCTGATTTTAAGAAGTGCAGAACTCTGGCTTTGTAGCATCACTGCTATTAAGGAGGCCCGAGAACCCTGTCCTCGCTCTGTGCCCAGGGTGGGCAGAAGGGTACAAGGCCATGACAAGGCCACTAGCTGCACAGGCAGAGCTGCAGAGCTCGGCTTGATCAATGAGATGGTGGTGAGGGCCTGGGGAGGAACTCAGGGCCATTTAGCAGTACGTATCTCAAGACCTTCTGTGGAACTGGACATCCTGACAGAATCTGCAACTTTTGCAGAGAGAGATTTGCTCTCTAACCGCACTGCTCCCCAGAACTGCTCACTAAGCCTATCAAGCTTAGCTGAGACTTCAGCAAATACCTCGCCTGTGAACCATCACAGGACTGCATAAACTGAGTACCGAGGATTGATTTTAAAACTGTATTGGTGCTATGCTATGAGCAGATGCTAGATGTCTTAAAATTTTGTGTCATGAAGCTAGGTGTGGTAGGGCATCCCTGTAATCCCAGCACACTGGAGGCTGAGGCAGGAGGACTGCAGGTTGGAGACTGGGCTGGGCAATCAGCCACTTAGGGAAATTCTGTCTCAAAAAAACAAAAACAAAACCATAAATTCCAACACTATATTTCACAGAACTAGAAAAAAGAATCCAAAAATTCATTTGGAACCGTAAGAGACCTAGAATAGCAAAAGCCATTTTAGGCAACAGACACATGGCACCAGGTATAACAATTCCCAATTTGAAACTATACTACAAAGCCACTGTGATAAAAACAGCATGGTACTGGCAAAGAAATAGGCCTGAGGATCAGTGGAACAGACTGGAAGACACAAAAACAAACCCAGATGTACTCAGCTACCTCATCTTTGACAAAGGAGCTGACCATCCTCAGTGGAGGAAAGATAGCCTCTTTAATAAATGGTGTTGGAAAAACTGGATGTCAACCTGCCACAGATTAAAATTAGACCCTTATCTTTCACCATGCACTAAATTAAAATCCAAATGGATTAAAGATCTAAATATTAAAACAGAAACATTAAACTTGCTGGAA